CTCTGGGCATCAAACTTTCATCTAGAAAATAGATCAACCCTCCCAGGCTTCACTGTTTTGTGGTAAAATCTCATACACCGTTTTGCATTAACACTTGTTTCATGTACATAGGTGAGACAGGGATTTAGCTGAAGGTTTCTCCCTTCTTGGGACCCAGCCCATCAGTATCTGTGTTTATCGCCTGGGTTGGGTCCAATGTTCTGGGGTCAGAGCAGGGATGTGTTTAGCTCAGTGTCATCCATTTAATCTCCCACGGCCTCACTGGGATCTCCAGGAGGAGAATTCCCCTCGGACATGAACTGCGATATATTGGAACTGATGGAGCCCTTAGCTGGATGTTCTGTTTGTCTGTAACCACAGAACACATTTACTCTCATTGTTGGGATCCAGACCCAGGGATCTGAGCTATAATTCTGGATGGGTGGAGAATTTTGATGCCATCTCACCTTTAGCAGCTCGACAACTGGTTGCTGACACTTCTCCTCGATCTCTGTGATCAGCTGCTGCAGAGAAGAGCTTTGCTGGGAAAGTTTGGTTATATTTTCCTGTAGTCTCTGCAGAGTCTCCCTCTCCTCCTTCTCCAGGCTCTGCAGAAGCAGCTGCTCCTCCTCTCTCAGCAGTGTGTGCAGCTTGTTAAATTCACTTGCAATCGTCTCTCTCCTGTTCTTCACTTTCCTCTGGAAATAGAAAATAGGAAAGGCACAGAGAAAACGTGAGCCAGATGTTGAGTTACACAAACTGGGCCTCTGTCCGTGAAGCAGGGGTTATTAGATCAGTATCAGGTTTGTAAGGATAGTTACTTATTTGGGAAACGTAGCATAAAGGGTGTGTTTTAGTTAAGAGTTAATATGGCCAGTTCAATAGCGGGGTTGACTAGGGTGCTTTGGAAAGATGCAGTAAGGCAGGAGGGGGTAGAAAGGAGCAAACGGCAGGTGAGGGAGCCTTGGGGGAGGGAGTGGGGAAGCTGCAACAGTGAGCGGTGAGCCTCTGGGGATGGGGCTGAGCAGGAGGGGAGCATGGGCGGGGCCTCGGCGAGAGCAGGAGAAATGGGGGTGGAGCAGTGGGCAGGGTGATGATCCAAGCACCGGAAGGTTCCGGAACTCATGCCCAACCTTCCCAAATGTTGGAGGCATGCGCTGCCCATGGCCGGCACCAAGCCTGTGCAACGGAGCAAACAACCAGAGCAGGTTCATAACCTCATCCTGGAGCTTTATGGCCCCGTCACTCCTGGGAGCTGCAGGGGGAAGGGCTCAGGGAGGAATAAACCTGGACACCCACCTGCCACTCTGTGGTTTTCTCCTCCTCTTTAGACGTCAGAGCCAGGGCCTTTTCCAGCTCCTTCCTCAGAGGGCCCAGGGCTCCCTGGAGTTTCACCTGCAGGGGCATCGTGTGCGATAAACAGCCATTAGTCTGCCTGTCCGATGGGTGGACAGTACTGTCCATATTGGCATTTCATACACCAGCAGTAAATACCCTGGAAGCGAGAAGCAGACTCGGCTCTGCCAGCCCCAAAGGCTCATGGGAGCAGAGACGCCAGTCTCAGAGCAGGGGCTCTGCTTCCTGCAGACACTCAGGACTTCTCAGAGCCTGTGTTTGAGCTAAAGTTTCACATCACC